TTAAGTGTATCGCAGAGTTATATTCGGAAAGAATAAACCAGTTTTATCAAGTAAAGACTTGTGTCGTTTAAAATTTCGTCGGAACGAAGTTACGGAAAAATCAATTAACAAACGGAGACGTAACAATATCATTACATTCAAACACTATTTGATATCAGCTACTTCGCTAAGTCAAGTTTTCATACAGTTTCTCAAACTAAATAGGATGGTCATTTGTTTATCATGACAATCGGTTTCTTTATTTGGTGCCAATTTCGTTTTATCAAATCACAAAAATAAATTTCATTTTTGGAATTTTGCCCCAGATAGCATTGTAGAATTGTGCTGTTATGGCCGAAAAATGACCAGGTACAGCATTTATTATTCAAGTTCTCCACTGTCTAAATTTCGGAAACGAAAACTAACTGTTACTTACGCAAATGTATTTTTTCTTTTTTCCTTACACTGCGTACTTAAGTTTAAGTTGTCTTGCCTGATAAGTTTACAACTGATCACATTACGTCTGTGGTTGGTTCATGAAATTGATAAGAGAATTTCTATCTAAGGCTAAAGTGGCCTGTTATAATACCAGCAAAACTAAAAACAGTGTCCAACTGGACGTATTAATAGTGCCGCCAAAATTTAAAACAAAGTCCAAGTGACCTCCTTATAATACCAGCAAAACTAAAAACAAAGTCCAACTGGACTTATTAATAGTGCCGCCAAAATTTAAAACAAAGTCCAAGTGACCTCTTTATAACACCAGAAAAACTAAAAACACAGTCCAACTGGACTTTTTAATAGCACCACCAAAATTTAAAACAAAGTCCAAATGACCTCTTTATAACACCAGAAAAACTAAAAACAAAGTCCAATTGGACTTATTAATAGTGCCAGCAAAACTGCAATAAAAAAATCAAATGGTTTGATAGAATGTCTGGTATACCAAATAATAATAATAATAAAAGGTCCAAGTAGCCAGATGTAATAACAATAAAACAAATAGTCTAATACATGCAAGGTGAACTAAAATGTCAAAGTGGCCTGATGATGTGCCAGATAAACTAAAAATAGTCCAACTAACCTGTAAAATACCAACAAAGTCTATATGGCTTCATATAATCCATTAAACACAAAAAAAAGTCTAAGTGGCCTGATACAGTGCCAGCAGACTAACATTCATTAACAGAATGATGACACATTAAATTGCAATTATAAAAAGTATGATTAAAAACATGACCCTACACACGTTTTTGTGTTTAATAAAAAATAAGGATAACACTGTTATGCAAAAAAGCAGTGGTACTTTCATACACCAAACTTTAGCACCAGCAGCCTGAGAAAATACAAGTGATATTAAAGGGACCAACATGTCTCCACCACACAATCGCAACATGACCAATTTTGACTCCATGAAAATCGTGAAAAACATAGAAAAATCAAAAACTGTCTGTATCACCATGCTAGTTGGTGTACACATACATAAATAGTTCATGAAAACCCCAAATTGTGATTTCCTCAATGAAAAATTTAACAAAAATACATAAATTCCAAAAAAGTATCTTTTGTACCAAATCCCATTTATCATAAATTGGTTGAAATATAGTGGTGTAATAGTCAAAGAATCCTAAAATGATGCTTTTGGGGGTATCTTGACCCCCCAATAATTACTAAAAATGGGGAAATCCAAAATTTTTGTTTGTCAATGTGTGGGACCTGTAGAAAGGTATCTTTGTACCAAATTTCATGTAAATTTGTCAAAATACAGCCAAGTAATTGTTTAAAATCCCCAAATTTATGCTTTTTTGAGAGTTCTATTTTTGTATGTCAAAGTGTTGGGCACATAAAAATATATATTTGTGCCAATTTTCATCTTGGTTGCTGTAAATATGACCACACAGGAGCCCAAAATATACATTTTTGGGTTGTTTGACTTTTAATCCCATCAAAACCTTAAAAAGACCTAAAATCATAGAAATGAACATATTGGACCAAGGTATAACCCTGCCAAGTCTGAAGTCAATCTGTTGAGAAATGAAAGAATGACAGTTGATTGAAAAGTGTTTGGAAAAAGAATGAAGAAAAAACAACAGAAAAACAGTATATCTCTCTGTGGAGACATAAAGGACAAGAAAACTGAGAAAATACAATCAAAGCTTCGGAATATGATTCTCAGAGCATGAGTCTCAAGAAAATACAATCAAAGCTTCGGAATATGATTCTCAGAGCATGGGTCTCGAGAAAATACAGGGTGGGCCAAAAGTAGGGTTACAGTTACTCTATTATTTGTTTCTCCTTCACAATCACGTTCACCTGACCTGACACCAATGTATTTCTTTTTTTGGGGTGTAGTCAAGAG